TCCTGAATGTCTGTACACACACACACACACACACACACACACACACACATACACACACACACACGTAAAATAAAAATAATATTTAATCTTCATTTATTTGCTTTTTTATTCATTTATTCTCCTTACTACATGTGTCCCAGCTGGTCAGGTGTGGCAGTGAGCACTTTTCACACACACACACACACACACACACACACACAATGCAATTCTCATTAGAAAGTTATTAGGGACTTATTTAAAAGTGAAGCTCTTCATGCTGAGTTCAAAGTGCCTTAGCCCATGGCAATCCCGATAGCCATAAAGCCTTATTACAGATGATTCTAAGGTTGGGGCGCTTTGTTGACGGGCAACCTGTGGGGAAGACCCCTCCCACCTAAGACAGGGGTTCAAGGTCCCCCTAGGACAGGCAAGGGAGGGTGACCCCACTTGACCTAAGCCAGGAGTGCCTCATTTTAAAATAAAAAGGGGTGAATTGTGGGGACAGCAGACCTTGAGCAGAAACCCACTTCCCCTTTGGCCTGGGAGCAGGCAGCTGTGAGATAATGTTTACTGAAAACAATTCAGTGCTATAAAGCTCTTGATAGGGCTCAGATAAGGGCTCACTCACTGAAACACCATGACTTTGACACCCCCTAAGGCTAGATGCTTCTTCCTGTCCCCCCTGCTGTTTCTCCCCGATTCTGGGGCTGGAGATTAAACCACCAGCCAGGAGGGAGAGAAGTCTGGGAGAGTTGTTGGAGAATTGTATGTAGATGGATGGCAGAAGTCCTTAAAAAGGGAAGCGTTTTTTCTTGGAAGGAGTTCTCTTCTCCTAAGCCGACTTGGGAAGCATAAAGTTTTCTTAAAGCAACCGACTGGTCTGTGTCATCTATCCCGACCACCTCGCTACATTCTCGGATGCAGGCTGCACAGCAGGTGTGACAGTTTATTCAGTTATTCTCTTTACTACATGGGTCCCAGCTGGTCAGGTGTGGCAGTGAGCACTTTTCACACACACACACACACACACACACACACACACACACACACACTGCAATTCTCATTAGAAAGTTATTAGGGACTTATTTAAAAGTGAAGCTCAATAGTTAAAGACTATTTCAAATGCATATTTTCATAGTTACTGAAAGGATCTAGCTGAGAAAATTGTATCTTTGGTGGCTGGCCGCTCAGAGAATATGCCACAGGCAACAGATCTAATGCAAGTGGTTAATTGGGGGAGGAGTGAGAGAGCAAATGGCCATCTGGGAGTGGGAACATGAGAGAGAGAGAGAGAGAGAATCCTGGGGGCCTCTTCTGAACGGAGTGTGAGCTATGGAGGACCTCGGCTTTCCTCTTTGTACGCTGGCAAAGCCCAGTGTGTCTTGTGACTTTCTACAAAGAGTACAGTGTGGAGTACAATGTGGGGACAGAGATCACACCTGAATCATTAGAAATCTCTCATGTCTTCTCAGAGGGTCTGGGAATTTAATAACAAAACACTAAAAACAGACTGCCAGATGTTAGGCAACATCTGGAGGAATTTATAAAACTCCGTGGTCATAGTTAGTGAAAACTGGTGGTGGGCCCAGCCTTTGGTCTTCTGAAATGAAGCAGTCAGTCAGAATGTAGAAGAAAAGTTATGGTGTGGTTTGCTCACAAGACAGTGGAGATCTCTATTACTTGACAAGAGCATGACCATTGTGTGGATGCTATGAGAAGGTGGCAAGCTGAGAGTTCTCACCAGAGCCCACCCCTTCGACTTAAAGGAGTAGTTGAGCCCTCTGAGACATAGCTAGATGGGAAATCTGTTGACATGAAAAATAAAAGTACTTGGTGCAACAGCTTTTCACAAAGGCAGAGAGAATTAAGGAGTAGAAATTTGGTGTAAGATTAATAATGCTTGTGCTTACAACAATGGTTAAAGAAGGGATTCATAGGAAGGGTAGAAAGGAGGAGACAGGAAAAGAGAAGAACCTTATAATTATATCTTAATTAAATAAAGATAATTTAAAAAATAAAGCCTAGGAATGAAGGTAAGGGTATGACTTAGAAGGTTCAGAGAGCATTCCAGCGCAGTTCATCTTGAGTTATGTTTGTATTTAGGTCAAGAGTATGACATAAGTATATGTTTTTTTTCATTAAACTTGGTAAAACACTTGTAGATGTGTTGCCATTCAGTCTTTGCTCTAAGTAAAATGGCTGGACCATTGGGAACTAAAAGTCCTTTCTCTTTGTTGATGGCAGTGTGGTGTCCTTCTGCAGAATCACCAAACTATGCATGTTTGATGGGAAGACTTTAGTACATCAAGATTTTGGCATAATTGTAGATATGTGGTGTGTGTGTGTGCATGTGAGAGAGAGAGAGAGAGAGAGAGAGAGAGAGAGAGAGAGAGAGAGAGAGAGAGAGTAGTAGTAGTAGTATTTAGTACCTTGAAAGGTTTGGTTAAAATAATTTAATAAAGAAAATGTGATGTTTTATAGGAGTGTCTAGAAAAAATAGTTGACAAAGGGCTTTTTTAAAAATCCCCCAATAACTTGACACAGGAGAGTTTTATATTAATAGTAACAGTAATAATAATAATAATAACAATGATGATGATAATAATAACTACAAATCTGCATTGATTAAACCAGGGACTAACAGTCTGATTCTCAATCTGGAAGTGTAGAATGGCACACATAAGTCTGACTGTAGGTTCATAAAGAATATGATGAATTACAGACCACCTTTCCTGTGTTTTTGTGCTGCTGTGCCATTGCCACCTGTGTGGTGCAGTGAAAGGCTTTTACTGGTTCCTGGGCACAGGTGTTTTACTCTAAAAATGAGAGGCAATCCTCTCTAATTATTAAGAACCCCTTCCAGATCTAACACAAATTTCTGAAGTTATTTCAAGAGCAGAAAGAGACTGAACTGAGTGGTGAAATAAACTACACCATGCAAAACCTCTTCAGCACATTGAAGCCTTAGACTCATGAAAGACAGAATAAAAATACCCACTATGGCTAAGATAAGCTTTCTCTATGTGCTCTATAAAACAAATTGTCAGTCATGGTTGTCTACCGTGTCGTCACAGGAACAGAGAGCTTGTTGTCTCATTCATGGGAAAATAAGTAATCTAACATGTTAGAAAAAATCCACAGTGAGATAATGAAGTTCTCACATGATTTCAGCTTTTACGTAGAAACATCTGTCCTTAATATGTGTAGGAAGAGATAGTTTAGCTTTCCCACTGACCTTCTCAGAAGCAAGTCACCATTAGGAATGATAGGAAATGAAATAGCATTCAACACATCCACATGGAAACTAGAACTGAATGTATTTCATTAAAATGATCTTTCTGTGCTATACTTCAACTTTTATTGAAACAAAATTTTTTAAAAACCATGATGGTATTTCTCATTCATGGTCCAATTCAAAATTTTTGCAATAGAAAAACATACATTTTTTTGCCATTCTCATTCTCAAATTCCTGAAGTACTTCTATGCATCGCAAGAGTTTGTTCATCTTCCCAGTCCCTGTCTAACACATTAGATGTCTTTAATTTTTTTAATTTAAAATCTAGTGCATTTACTTTTTCTTCGTTTGCCTTCCTTATTCCATCTTATTTTTCTGCTCCTTTATACTTGCTTTCTTCTTTTCCTCATTTCCTCTCTCTCTTCTTTGTTCCCTTCATTTAGGAACAAGTTCAAGGTCACGTCTCTGGTACTTTAATGATTGTGTGTCCCATGAGGAGTATGAACTTCCAAAATGCTGATGTTAAAAAATTATGGAGGATATTGAGGATCTTTCTACCTTAATCATATACCATCTTCTGGCTTCTGCAGGCACTTGTGTGTATGTGGTGCACACACACAAATTTTAACAGATTTTAATAAAAAAAACATGAAGCATGAACTGGAAAGTAAATCATGGCTTTCAGCCCATCTACAATCCCAGCGCTATATAAAGTGATGCCACTGTGTCAAGACAGGTGCCCTCAGTCATATCATTATAGTTTGAAGGTATAGTAATATTCTCAATAAAATTCTGTTTAAACTGTGTATATCTATTACATATAAGAATAATTGATTTTCAGAGAGATTTTAATTAATACAAAATGGCCATAGCAGCATACCAAAAGCATTGCTACAATGACATAGCATGTGCTGAAACCTCCAAAAACGGGTTCTCTCCTTTTAATGACAGCAAAGCAGAGCCTGGTGACACAGAAAGTGGGAGGTGAAAGAAGCCCAAGGTCAACCTCAACTGCAGGAGACCCTGTCTCAAAAACGGTAAATAACTAAAATAAAAGCAACGTGTTTTGCTTTGTCTTCTTTTGTTTTCTAAAGCAATCCTCATACTATATCTCAGGCTATCCTTGACCTAACCGTGGAACAACACCCATTGGTTGAAAACTAATAGTAATCCTCCTGACTCACCCTCCTAAGTGCTGAAGTTACAGGCTTGAATTCCTGTCTTATCACTGAAAGTAAGTATGAAATTCTGTAAGTCACTACATATAACGAGTTGTTTTTCAGGCAATCAATCAACTTAGATTTTTGATAGAGGTTTTCATTTTGTCTTAGTTACTTTCCTGAAATCAAACATTTATCATTATCTGCTGTGTACAGACCTGTCTTGGGCCTGGTATATAATCCACACTGATGAGTCAACCCAACAAAACTTCTGAGCATTTTATTCCCTATACTTGTAGATTTGTACATGCCAAATCCTGCTCAATGCCTAACCAAATTCTATGGTCAGAATAGCAGACAACAGCAAGAGATCAAAGTCAATTTCTGTTTCAAAGCCCCTTTCTAGAATAAGTACCAGTTATTTACATTTGGTTGAGGTCTGGAAGAAGAATACAAGAACACATAATGTCATTCTACAAAACTTGAATGGTTTTGATTTGTAATATATTTCTAAAAAATTTCTGCTTCTATCTGCGGCAACCATTGGCATTAAGAAGGCAGGAAGAATGGTGCCTCCTAGCTACCTACATTACTCAGGATTAAAGAGCAAATTAGAAGGACAACATAAGGGAGTCAGAGTTTTTATTTATAATGTCATATGTGAAGCGTTTAAATGAAATTCTCAGTTCTGGTTTTGATTTCATCATCTCTATAGTCAAAACAAATTGTAACATTAGAGCCAGGCCTTTAAACACAATTTTAATCCGGCTCTTTCCCTCCAAAGTCTAATGTGCTGAGACTTGGGGAACTTGGTGATTTTCTTAGGGACATAAGTATGTCAGAATTTAACATGGTTCATGATTTGCAATTCAGTGCCAAATTAGATTAGATTCTCTTACCATAGCATGCCTCTTTAAAGCAATAATTTGTCATCTCTGGAGCAAAAAGATCCTGGCTCCTGTAAATGAGCAAGAGTTACTTCCCAGTTAAAAAGGTAACCAAGGGAACAGAAATTCAAGTACACTGATAAGAAGTATTATAAACGTGTCATTGATTTTCTTAAATAGTTGAGTACCTTATGTGCAGTCTTTAGAAGATTAAATAGTGTATTAATTCAGAACATACGAGAACACATAAACTCAGAAAGTATATTTTGGAATATTAGCTAATGAAAGCTCACACTTTGTGGACAGTAGAGTCACACAGAAAAGTGTGACTCTGAAGATTTTCCAGATACCTATCTGCATGTTCTAGGTTGATGATACTTGGACCATGAATCAGTTTCTCAAAGCTCTGGTATTGTGGTAAAACTATTATGCTATGTGCACTCTCACCTGGAACATCTAACTCTTCTCTCCTCCTGAGTTACATTCCATCAGAAACAATGTGTGCAGAGAAATGCTTGAGTTCAAGTCAGTTCACGGCCCTTCCCCTTCTTGTATAGCATGTGCTGAGGAATTTCATCTTATATTCACACCCTTCAACTCTGTTCTAAATGATGCACTTATGGAGGAAAGGGTATTTTAGACATTCTAACACTGGAATCAGTTTCACTGAAATGGTTTGTAAATATTAAAACCTCCTTCAAAAGCAATCTAAAAGCTAAATCTTACACAACTGCTTAGCAAAACATTTTGCCTTCAGCCTTTTAGACTGAGTATACAATATTAGATTTCTGGACATGAAATGTTGTTTATAAATTTCCCAAGTTGTGGATATATTAGCTGTTGCTGTGAGTTTCTAGTGTTTTCTCAACTTTTATCTTTTGGATCAACCATGGTATCTTGGGATTCTTTGCAGAGTTTAAGAACATTCTCACTCTAATTTCTAGCTTGTTTTTAAATCACATGTGTGGATAATCTAAACAATTGTTCAGTTTTAGCCCTAGTCCATCTATACTGATGGCGCAAAAAGCCCATTTATTACAATGTGTTGAAGTGGGATTTTTATGGCCCACATAAAATTGTTTGCAAGCTTCCATGGTAATGTATTATCTTTGTCTGTGCTACTCTTGCCTTTCAATCAAAATTATTGCTTCTCAAGGGACAAATAAACTTTTTGTCTCTGAGATACTTTTGGCTTTAATTTTTAGTTTAGTGATTTTTTTATTGTTTTGTTTTGCCAATATATTTTAAGAAACACAAGATTTAGATTGATATTCAAGCTAATACATAACAGTCCTTGTACCGTGTTCAAACCTTCCTTAAAAAGCCTCTGGAGGTTTACCCAATGAAGCTAAGATTTTATTTCCTAAAATAGCTAAAATAGTTCATATATCCCAAATGTGTGAAATCTAACAATGATTTTCCAAATGGATAGTAAGGGAGACATGATCTTATTTTTTCATTTTTAGAATAGGAATTGATAAATGATTTGGATTTGGCTGAGTTTCAAAGGTGGAGAACATTGGATGAACATGGATCACACTATCCTGTTGGTTCAAAGAGGATGACTGTGGTGGCATTCATGATTTTCTTTTTTAAAACAATAATTCACTTGCTTTAAAACAAATAGTAAACATTCTGATGGTGTCAAATTGATCCTTTTCTCTCCCTCTCTTCCTTTTTTCACCGAAGTGAAAAACATAGGTCTCATCTAGTGTATCCAGACTGCAAATGAATGCAGCAGTGCCCATGATATCTGCTTTGAGGCTGCAGGGGACTCTTCACTTAAATGTGGAAGACAACTCAGAAATCTCTGATGAGAGTGTTTTGAAAGATGACATTTCATTTTCTAAAACCGGACTATAATGTAAGATGGCAATGGACTGAACGCCGCAGTTTATAATACAATTTTCACTTTATTTTAAACATAGTTTGCATGTTATAAAAATACTGATCACAGTGAGCTTTACCAATTGTTATTGCTATAAAAATGAATGCAGGAACAATAGATTTAGTGGAAATAAATTATATAGTCATTCTTTTTATCTTTTTCTTTTTTAGATCACAAGAGGAAAACCTCAGCTGTCTGTTCACTGGTAGAAAAGCAGTCTTTGAAGAGGCCTTTTCACATTGACTGCCAGTCCATTCCTGCGGCTATCCACACGGTTCAGGAAACACAGTCGTGGGCCTCTGTTACCATGGTCCCACAGAGACTTTCTGTGTATGAACAGTTCTAATGTGGCAACAGTTTTTCAAGACAGTAAAATGATGAACTGAAAATTGGTATGATCTTAGTTCATATGCGGTCTTTTCCAATATGATGGGACACAGCGACACACTTCTTCACTAAAGGACAGTCCTGGTTCACAATGCTTCATTCGATTTGTACATGGTCGTCTGTAACAACTAGAAGAACAGAGAGAAACACATATGGTGAAGACCATCGTAGCGAGTCATGATGCTAAAAAAATCAGCTTTTATATTTTCTCACGTTTAAACCAGGAAACATTACTAATTTTCTTATAAATGTGTTTATAGGTTTATAAATGTTTACGTGTGTGCTTAGGGTTACAGAACTGTAGAGGAATGGAAAGGCCTTTAAAAACATGTCTCACTTGCTGACACAGCCAAGGAAAGATGGGCTATTGTATTGTAAGCATCAGTTCTTTTGAAGTGCCTTTGCTGTGTGGATAAAAGTAACATAAAACAGGAATTTTGAAAGTGAATATTTAAGGTCTGCTGATTTCCTGTGATCACATAAGCATGGCAACGTTCACAAAAGTCTGGGATGGGACCCAGACATCCAGGCAATTAATCCCATCCAACTTGGCAAGACCTTAGTCTTTAGTGAACAGCCCCATCCACGTTCACTCTCGAGTTTGTACTCTGCAGCTGGCTGGGTGATGGTGGGTAACTCTTCCTTCTCCACCTGTGCTCCGGATGGTGAGGAAAACATGAGCTCTTAGGGGCCCTTCTCCATCCCCACAAGACTTCCAGTTACTGGGAGCGATGAAAGGAAAAGTTACCCATCATTTCATTTTTGGAAGTTCTGTTTGCTGCAGTGAATTGACTCTAGCTTTGAAGACTGTCACAGGAAGTGAGTATGCCTCCTGGTGTAAACGTTTCAAATTTCATCCCACGTGATATAGAAAGAAAAACATAGGCAATTCTTTTTGAAAAACAATATTTAAAACTGCTAATTTCATTCACTTTATCTTTGACAACCTCATGTGTGTATGTAATGCCTCCGAATTACTCTCTCATATTTTACTCTCTCTTATCTCCTTGCCACCCCCAACAACTCCTGCTCCTCCCTACCAGTGCCTCTCACACATTCATGACTTTATTTTGGTTTATGAACTATTCAGTTTAATTATGGCCAGGAAAGTGATTACTGGACTGAAAGTAATCACTTTCAGGGAGGGCAAGTCATGAGTGGGTATACAACAGGTGGCAATAAGTCCTCTCTCCCTGGATGATCAGGAACAAATACTTCCTTAGTGAGGGGCTGTGTCCCCTTAGCCTTTCCTCCATCTTGGCCTGCATAGGTCTATTCTTGTGTACAGCCAGTATGAACATCTGTAACTATGAGCTCATGATTGTGATAACTGTGTTTTTCCCAGAAGTTTGCAGCTCTTTGCTCTTTCTTTCTAACTCTCATGTTCTTTCAGTCCTCATTTCTGGAATGTTCTCTGAGGCTTAGAGGAGGATGGTATAAATATCTTATTAAGAACTTTTAAAATATCCATAATTGCATAACAAATACAATTTCTTTATTAGAAAAGCATACGATCCTCAGTGGTCAATGACAGCTGATAATTAAGGTAGGAAAAAAATACACCCTGCCTTTCTTCATTGGAATAAATATTAAGTGGCATATATATATATATGTATATATATATATGTGTGTGTGTGTGTGTGTGTATGTGTGTGTGTATGTATGTATGTATGTATATCTCTTTGCTCCATCCATTTGACACCTTAACCTCTAGAATGATAAACATAGAAAATGGGTACACCTTGAAATGGCTTTTGAAGCCTATTCCATATGGTGGAATGCCTTGCTCAGCCTTGATGCCTGGGGTAGGGTGGGGGGGTGAAGGGTGGGGGGCGGGGGCAGCCCTGCCTCAACTGGGTGTGCCAGGCTTTGTTGACTCCCCATGGGAGGCCTTACTCTTTCTGAGGAGTGGATGGACTTGGTTAGGAGGAAGTGAGAAGGAGGGGGAGAAGGGGATGAAGGAGCAACTGTGGTGGGTATATAAAAATGAATAAAAATTTTAAAAAATAAAGAAAGAAAAATGGGCACATAAAGAGTTGCAGTAAGTATGAAGACTTAGCCTAGAGATATAGTTCAGCGCTTGGAGTATTGTTCCATGACCACTTGCCCAGGACACTAGTTTCAATACCAGAAAAACAGGAAATGATTTTATGAAATATTGTATCTTTTTAAGCATAGGCATACGGATGTAAATATAATCCACTCAGCTAAACACAATTCTCTGTAGAATATTATGATGTTTGGCTAGTCTATAAGCAGTCAAAATAATTCAAATTTGGTAATATGTACTAGATCATTGAAAAAATGCCTCAATATAGAAGATGGCTTAATCAGATTTGTTTAAATGTAATAGCTGTATTCTTTTAGATGTAATATTTTATATATTATTTTGGAAATATCCTTTGGTAAGTAGAAAATGAACATGCAAGTAAAACTGGAAAATGTGTACTATTCAAAGTGTTTTTTTTTTACAAAAAAGTATTACAATTCCTGTAAGAAACTCTGCAAAAATGCAGGAGGAAAAAGTATAGTCAATGAAATACCTGAATTAAGTGGTGCCCCATTATGCAGTAACTACAAATGACAGATCTTCAGAATTTAAAGTTAAAATGACAACACAAACTCTTGAGACACAATAGATAGGCTCTACTTACTAAGGTACAAGACAAATGATAAACAGTCATGAGGCTACAACATTAAAAATAAAATGATAATGGCTTTTATTTTAGATGTTGAAAGGGTATTGTCTGCCCATATTTAAATGGTGGATGGAAGAAGATATTTAATAAAAGAGAAAATATAGTGAAAATCAAGACACTAAAATATTATGTACTATGACAAGAGAAACGGACCAGAAAAATGGTAACATTAAAGACACAATAGTTCTCAACCTATTAACTGTGGCCAGATATCCTGTATGTCAGGTATTTACATTATGATTCATAACAGTATCAAAATTAGTAATAAAATGGCAACAACAATAATTCAACAATTGGAGTCACCACAACATGAGGAGCTATAATAAGGGTGGCAATATTAGGAGGGTCGAGAAACATTGCTCTAGATAAATATGATGATCTCTACTGGATCTAGCAACTCGGAAGTAAAAACACAGTTTAACACAGAGACCTCTGCCAGGCCATAGTCCCTGCTTAGATTAGAGATGGTGGAGCGGAGAAAGCCAACGCCGTAGGATGTGGAGCAACTCTGAAAAGCATCATGAAATGTTCTCAGTGTCAAAGTAAGAGCACAATAAAGCAGAAGAAACCTGTAATCTTCATACTGAGGGAGAAGGAAGACAGAGCTAAAGATACTGAAGTAACTTAAGCAGAGGCTTGGCTGCTGGACAGACACTGGAAGAATACAGCCATAGACAGGTAGGCTTTGGCCCTGCAGGCAAGTCTAGGATCAGGCCTATGTAAAGTATTCCTCCAGGTTTCCTTCAGTTCCTGCCTCCAATTTCTGCCTCTGTTTCCCTTGTTTGTAGTGCAACCTGGAAGTCAAATAAACCCTTCCTTTTCCAACTTGCTTTTGGGTGTGGTATTTCATCACAGCAACAGAAAGCAAGCTAGAACATTTATCTAGTTCTCATTAAGCATCAAGTACAAACATTTCTCTTGCAGATAAAATTCTGAAATGTACTACCGTGTTTTATTTTTAAGCCTGAAAATCATACAATGGAGGCATTTGATCCTAAACTACATCTGGAAGTATAATCTTTGGAGGCATCAGACATAGACTGCTGAATGCATTTCTAAAATAATAATAGTACATCCCCTAAGAGGACTCATACATGACTCTGTTATATTAGTTTCTAGGGAGAAGATTTGGTTTTGAGTATATTCTAGCTTTCTTTTGTGCTTTGATGTGCCTGTGTTGCTTTTGGGATTAATCAAACCTCGAAGACCAAATGTGCTGACATAACCGTGAAATCCCTCTGTTCAGTAAACTGAGGCAGGAGGATGCTGAATTCTAAGTCAGCTCTATATAATAGAGCAAGTCAGTCTCAAAGAAGCTAAAAATTTACAAAACTCCAGTGTCAAGAAAGAATAGCATTGATTTAATATCTGTATTTTTTCCTCAGAGGATTTATTGGCTTCATTCTTATAAGCAGTTACTTGTTTGGGTTGAGAAAACAAATCCTGGTTGAGAATGCTCTGTTTTCTGGAAGTGAATTAGCACTATTTACATAGACTGCTTACCTGCATGTTTGATGGTGGAATTTCTTCCCTTTTAAGAAGCATTTCTCTGTGTTTTCTGTACATTCACAGGTACATTTTTCAGGATTCAGGGGTCGGTTTCTAGGACAGGTTCTTTTACATACACACTGGCAAGTGTTTTCATCAAATTCCCTGTTGGCTCCACACGAGCTAGGGAAAAGTTTGTTTTTACAGACACACTGACACGAGTTTCTGTCTAGTTCTTTGTGGGGTCCACAGCTGGATGGCCGAAGACCCCCTTTGCAGACACACTGACAGGTGTCTTCATCCAGCTCCTTGTTGGGTCCACAGACATCATGGAATTCATTGGTTGAGTCTAGAAAAACATAGGACGTATTTACTGGACCTTACTTGGCTCAGGATGTGGTATAACATACATGCATTCAAAACATCGTCCCTATTGACTTTCCACTAACGGAATACAAACATGCCTTTATATAGAAGTTAAAAGTAAAATGAAAGGAGGCAGCTAATATCCTACTTTATACTCCTTTCAATGAGTGATGAGCAGACTATTGAGAGAATTTAATATGAAAATGCATTGATAAAACTATATTAATGTGAGTCTATATACAATGAAGTGTTTAGTAACTCACCATCCTCAGGGTTTGAATAAAAGATAAAATCCTGCTGAGCCAGGCATCGGCACATGTAGTTATTCCACACATAGTTTGCTGGACAAGTTTTGTTGGCTGCTTGACACCTTTGGGGGAGAGAAATTGAAAAGGAGCTGAACAGCAGTGTAACTGTCATATAGAAGTTTGTTTCTTTTCATGTGGACATCACAAATCAAAACATGTATACAGGAAAGCTTATAAATACGTAAGAATAGAGCAGATGAACCAACAGGGTCTCCTCTCAGACTACTCCAACCCGTCTCCTGCCAGGTTTTAATCTCAGTTTGTGCTCATAAGTTATAACGTCTAAGAGGACTCCTGACTTAACCTTCTTAAAGGAAAGTAGGCTTTTTGTGTAATAACATAGTGTTTTAACTTACTAAAAAAATGTAATGATGCCTTCTGTATTACCTTGTAATTTTCTTTACCAAATAAAAGATATATGTCAGGCAACTCAAGAGGACATTTGATAGCTTTTCTCTGAATGACTTTTAGTTACTGTATAATATTTCATGAAAAGATGTAATACAGTTTATTTCTTATAATAACAATTTAGGTAGCTTTCAGATTTCACATTTACTATCTTATTTCTGAAGCTTAGATCCCACAGCTCTAATATCTCTTGACCAACGCATAATTACTTCCCATTCCACCAAAACTATCGAAGAGCACGGTTCGTTGTAATTTGGTTTTCATAATCATCCCCTTCCTCATTTTCTTTCTTCTTACCTGCTTTTCCTTCCTCCCTACCTCTTTTCAATGTTCATAGTCTGTTTTAGAAAAAACGTATGAAAAAACGGCCATCATTCAAGGACTTAAATTACTCCTTGGATGCTCCAATTACCTTGCACTTAGCTAACAGGAATCCATTCATATTAATGACTACAATATTGGGTACTTCATTGTGATAGACTCAAGTTACTCACTGACTCCACCTAGAGTGAACTAATCTTCACAGGGCCATATTATTGTTTATTAGTAGTAGTATTAGTAATACTACTACCACCAACACCGCTACTACTACTACTTTGGAAAATGATATTTAGAAGCTATCATTTGGGATTGCTTTCTGTGCCATTAGATTGAATTTTTTCTAGATATTCTGAGTTACATGTAGTATATTCTGCAGGCTTTTCTCCTGACTAATGTCTATCCAGAGGCTTCCTGGCTTTGAATATTCTAACTTAGAGAACATGCATTAATCTTTACTATTTGACTTGTCAACAGACATTGGTGTGGGCATGAAAGGGAAATAGTTATTAGATATCACACATCATATATTTAAAGCAATATTATAAACAATAGTATGTAGTAGAAGAATGCTCAATGAATTCCCAAAGGTTACAACACAGAAATAGTCTGTGAACTTCTTTAAAAGTGCACTGGTTGCACACGCCTTTAATCCCAGCACTTGGTAGGTAGAGGCAAGTGGATCTCTGTGAGTTCGAGACCAGCTTTCTCTACAAGAGCTAGTTCCAGGACAGTCTCTAAAGCCACAGAGAAACCCTGTCTTGAAAAAAAAGTGCACTGTAAGTGCTAACAAATAGGCCATGTGCTTTGGATGCTGCTAAGAAGAGTTACATAGATTGCTCAATGTGAGTGTTTTAACATCTAAAACACTCTCAAAAACAGCTTGAGAACTATTATAAAGCTATACAAGCAATTTTGAATTGTGTTTGTTTGGAAGTAGGCCCTCACTATGAATTGTACGCTGGCTTTGGACTTGTGATCTTGGCCTCCCTGGTACTGGAATCACAGACACCCATCTCTTTGCATGTCTACTATTGTTTGAGCATCACCTCTGATAATTTACCAGTGTTTTCTTTTCCAGAAGTCTATACCAACTCTAAGGAAGGGTCTATTTATTCTGTTCAATATGACAGTTTGTCTAAAAAGTCCCATATGTTTCAGCCACATCATCACCCTCTGCAATTGCCATTCATGATTTTAACTTTGCTAATTCCTCCCTTTACTTCTCCCAAGGGTTATGCTTGGCTCCTTTAGGTTGGTGGGGGAGTCTATTATAGGGTGTTTCTTGATTTAGTTTGACTTTTTTCTCGTCATGTTATTCGCTATGCCATGGCAACTAAGCCTCTCATGGAGCATGCAAAGAGTCTAGTTGATAACCTAAAAGGATGTGTTAATAGCAGTGATAATTGTTGGATGTTCATAAAACTGTTTAAGCATCCTAGACCCTATCAAAACAGTTTTATTTCTTTGAGTTCAGACACTATAATTCATGGTAATTCCTCAGAAATATGCTCCTGGGATAACTGAATTTTTCATTTAAAATAGTATTAAAATGCTTGCCATATACATTTTCTAGAATAAGTGATCTTAAGCAAGATAATTATGCATGTATTCTCAGGCAAAAAGAAGAGTAGTTATGTCCAAAAACAACACAGGATAGCTAGGACTTCCAGTCCATATGCTTGACTTCATACTAACAAATCCCAGTAAAATATTTGGCCTCAACAATCTTTATAAAAATAGCTTCTTGCTTTTTCCAATGAATGCTACATGCCTTTTGTTCTTAGTCTTAAAGATTTAACATATTTACTTATGTGATAATGAGTTAATACTATCAGAAGTGTATGTTCATTCTGCTCCATATCCCCAGTATGCTATTATTTTTCTTAGTATTTTTGTTTATACATATCAGTATCTCTTCTTGGAAAACAACCAAAAGCAAAATCAACAACAAGGCAACATGCTTAAATTTTGTGTGTTCACTTAGTATTTCCTGGAACATGTCATAGTCTCCTAAAAAAATTCAGTTAATTCTAAAGGGAAATATCTACCTGCTACATTATTCTGCCATTATGGTGGTTTGAAGGTAAGGTTCCCATAAGACACAGATATCTGGTTACTTGTTCTCTGCATTTGGATTTTGGGAAACATGTCTGTGGCTTGCTAGAGAAAGTGTGACTTCAGATAGGTACTGAAGTTTCAGAAGACTGATGTCATTTTGAGTTAACTTTCTGATTCCTACATGTGGATCAAGCTCTTAGCTACTGCTCTGCAACCATGGTTCAATGACTCCAGCCATGATCGTAATAGACTATTATCCCTTTGGCATCATAAACCCTCAAATGAATGCCTTTTTAAAAATTGTTGTCTTGGTTCTGGCATTTTATCATAGCAATAGAAAAGTAACTAATACAGTTATTTTATTTTATAGTTTTATGATGAATATGCATTGTGCATGATAAACTTAGATTGTACTTATCAATTTTCTAAAAAAAACAACAAATGTTATGTATATTCTATCCAAACTTTAGTATCCTGCCATAAAATAATCTTCATTATCCTTCTGTATGTGGTGACAGCATGTATTGCTTATCGGTGAACACATATTGCTATGATGATAGTACAAAGCATTTCTTTTTCATTTTGGAAATAAGTAATTTATAATACATTTGTATGATGCAGTGTTTATCTAGTTGTTGGGTACAGCTAATATATAGAACATGAAATCAATTGAAGAGTCAAAATACACACGAATTCCAGCATTCAAGACACTAAGGAAGATGTATCAGGAGTTCAAGGTCATCATCATGCACTGTATAATAAGTTTGATGCTAGCCTGTACTATGTGAGAAACCTCTCACATTTAAAAACAAAACAAAAAAGAGTAAAATAAAGGCAAAGCCATATATTCCCTAATGTGATGGAATGGCATTCAATAACACAGTCTACCAGAGTGAGTATAATAAAGATGGATTTCTACAACTGTCTTTCAGTTATACATAGACACCAACATGCTCTAATATGCTCACACAAAGTATCAGACAAAGGTCCTCTCACCCACATGTGGAATGTGTGTATTTAGTTGCAGTTATCATTATTTTTAACAGTCTAAATTTTTGTCAAGACAAAGATCTAAGCTATTCAAAGGATGGAGCTGCAGGTGTTCTCTCAGTTTCTAGCCCTCCAGGTACTGGAGAATGAAGGCTCTTTCCTTACAGGGAGCTTGGTAAGGTTTATGCCATGTTTATGTTTGTTCACCTAGGCAGGTCTCTATCCTTAGCAAGCAGGAAAAAAACTTTTTCTCTTTTTTTACACAGATTTTTCTTTTTTATAGTACAACATTTTCAAAAACATACATTTCAATATATGCACCTTATGTGTATAAACACTTGCAGGAATTTACTTTGGCACTGTTATACAAACATCCAGATACATATTTTCATATGTAGTAATCAAAGAAGTCACATAATCTGGTTGTGTGACCTAGTTTTTCTTTTCTTTTTCACATTCATTTTGAACAAAAAAGAGGTTCTGGCAAACACTTTCAATTGTACTACACCTGCAACATTCTTGACAAAATGAACTTCAGAGTAGTTAGTAATAGTTTGCTTAAAGGGAAGTACTTTGAATTGTAATAGTCTTAAAACACAATTTAAATTTTAAAATATATGAGAAGTTTCAAACAAATAAGAAAATATCACTCATCATAAACATATCTTAATGCTGAAATCTGAAATTATGCTAGATACTATTGAATTAAAGAAATCAGTATTTGGATAAATACATTTTTATAACTCCTAAATGACACTGCTGCTCTCAGATGTAAGAAGCAAAATTATAGGATTTATAGCATACTATTCTAAAAGATGAGGTGGAAACAAAATTTTAATGGTATTATAATGAAAGGAAGTATTAGAATAAAAGGATTAGCACAATGTGCTTATTGCCTTTATGTTTCGATCTTCAAGGCAGTTTCATGCAGTTGAAATTGATATTCAAAAGTAATGAATGATTAATGTTCATATATATATTATATTTATAAATAAGACATTTCCTGTGCTGCATTTACAAAGCATATAACTAGAAGCATACTTTTTCTGCAAGGTATAGAGTAATGTTTCACGTAGATCTCTGTTGGGAAGCATGTAAGCAAATAAACTTCCTTTTTAAATGTCCCCTTTAAACAGTACTTCCAACTTTTATGAATGACAGTTTTGTAAGAATTATTTCATTATTTGAAAACTTCGCTTGACAGATTTTTCTAGCTATTGAGTTTGCTGTTTGAGATGAGTGGCCATGAATTCAGTGATCTCTGCATTTCTCAATGAGAAAAAAT